TGTGATTCACATGATATTATCTATTTAACTTTTTTTTCGCTGTGCTTTTGACCTTAATGCACACTAACCTAAAATCTATACTTGTTTTCTTTATCTTGAATATCTAGCAGTCTGTTAATTTTGGTTATAAGTTCACATAGCAAAACATTTAAATAATATAATAAATATTTTAAGCTTGCATTTACAGATTCTATACACGATATAGCAATCATGCCTCTTGTAAAGTTAAAAAATGTAAAACAATGCATCCAATATGTCTTCGATTTATAAGAAATTCTAAATAAGTTTATGCATTAGGATAATCTTGAATCAGCTTATCAAATTGTTGCTGAAAGATAACTTCTTTTAAACTATTATAACATTGATAAAAGTTCTCAAGAAACTTTTTATATATTTCCTAGTACCTTTCTAAGATTCTTATATAAATTCTAAGTAATATGATAGGTGCAGTAAATTGGATAAATTATGCTAAATACTTGATAAATTGCAGCATCAACTGTCAGATCTGAATCAGTAAGAATAACAGCTAAATAAACATTAGTTGCTTTGACGATTTCCTGAAATATTCAAATATGTAAATCAACACTTTTATTAGGTAAAGTGCCTGTGCCAATAATATATTTTACTGATCATTATCAAATCTAACGAATAATAATAATGCTATTCCAAAACGATTTGTTTTATAGGTGATATCATTTAAAACACAATTGGAGTATTGTATCCAATGTTCAACCTGGTTCAGCATAATCCAAAGTAGGTGAGTTAAGTATTATCACTATTCCATCCATGCATAACAACCTAACATGTATCATCATTTTTCTGCTGATCAAGTTTGTTAAAAACCTATAAATCTAAATATTAAATCTTATTATATACCAGCATAGCAGACATTTGTATAATTGGTTAATTTTATATCAATCATTTTCTAAATTGGTCAATATTTATATCGATCATTTCCTAATTATCAATAAAATAATTAATTTTGATTGGCTCAATTTTATTATTAAATTTAATAATAATATTAATATTGTTTTATTTTTTATTATTAATTAATTTTTCATAAATGTTTCAAGTGCTATTTTAAATTGATTTGCAATTTGAGAGTTAAATGATAATTGTTTTGATAATTCTTCAGGTTTATCATCTTCTAATTAAACTTCATTTTCTTGATCAATTTTAACTTTAGAATTTTCTTCAGTAATTCTACAAATAATAGATTTTACATTATTATTGATTTCATTTTTAATATATTTTAAACAATGCAAACATTTATATTCAAGATATTGTAAACAATCTTGATGATAAATATGACCATATGAAAGAGAAATTGAAATATGAGAAGTAGAAATTGATTTTAATATCTGACAAGAATTTTGAAGATGACATCTTTCTAATGGATTAATTGATAAATATTCTGAACTGAAAGCCATTGGTAAATGCCATTTATCTATACCCATATTAAGAGTTGTAAGATAATATGAAAGCTTATTTTTACTATGTTGATTACTTGTCCATTTGCTTTTTTCAACATTATTTTTAACTTTTGTAAATAATTCTAAAAGAAAGATAGATGTTTTATTAGTTAATCCTATTAAATCCTTTTTACTATAAGAATATTTTCTTGTTATAACAAATGTATTTTGAAATACATTATCATGATGAAGATAATTGATAATATGAGCTGTTCTTGAAAGTTGTTCATGTGTATCTGTTTCTTTTGTTTGTCATTGAATTAATGAATGATAATTTTCCACAGGATAGTCATTAAATGCTACAAGATGATTTTTCAGAATCTCAAGAATAGGATGATTAATGCTTTCCCAATACCAAACATCTGAAAGAAAGAATAATGGTGCTTTGTTATAATTTCTTCATTTAAATCGAGCAAATAAATACCATACTCTTACACAAGCCTCAATATATACCTCTCAATTATCTGATCTAAAAATCATTGCATAAATATTTAAAACCAAAGGAATAGTATCATTTAGAAGAGTTTTTAGTAAAAGGTACTCAACATCTCTAGAGCAAGATAATTCAATCTTTTTTTTAACATATAGTGCAATATTTTTTCAAGCATCTGACATTAACTGTAATAGGAGATTAATTTTTCAAGAACGAGGTTTGTTAGCAAGCTTTTTGTTTATTCTAAAAATATATTTGTATGTAGAATTAAAAAAATCATAAAATAATAAAACAACAGTCTCATGACTATTGAGAGATATATGCAAAGGTCCCATAATTAGAATAAAAGAACTAACACATTTCAGAATTCCTATTTAACAATTTTTCATTTTTTGTTGTTGCATAGTAATTGCTTTTTGAGGGTGTATTTGTCCTAGCCAATCAGCAACTAATGGAATAATATTATGTTGAAGATACTCCCGAAATTCTAGAAAGGATACAAATATTTCTATGGCCTTAATATATGCCTCCATCAAATGCAGATCAAGCCTGATAAAATCTATTAATAATATGTTGCTAAGTTACCGGTCTTTCCATTTTTTATGGACATCTGTATCATAGCAATAAACAGTTAGATTATCAAGTAAATCATTTTTAGAAAACATAAATTGTTTTGCAAACTGATCATTAAATAACTGAGAAAGAAGAGCCATATATGAGTTTTCCATTTGAAAAATCAGAGAATTGCTATCAACAAGTAGTAGATTATATACATAATATTGATTCACATTCATATTATTCATATTATATATAATATTCTTTAGAATTGCACTAGCTGTAGATATGGGAATAGCAAGAACGGTAGTCATGTAGGCAACGGTACTAGTAAAGGTGATTGTTGGCATTTATAAACTATGGATATTATGATAATCGTCAATATTAGCGATTATTGTATTTGTTTGATATCTTAAAAGCTCCTTTGTAATATCATCCTTGTGAATTGAAGATATAATATTCTTCTCACGTCAATTTTTTCTTAACATAAAACTTAATTGCATATTAAACAATGTATCAATAGCTCGATCAGAAGTACCTGAATGATCCAAAAACATTGCAATATCTTTCTTATTGAACTAATATGTTTGTTTCTGATTCTTACAAAAAGTAACATAAAAAAGAGAGACCCTTTTATCATTGCGAAATAGTATAATCCATAAGACCTCTACCACTTGGATTAATCAACTTCTCAAGCATATTAAAGAATTATATAAGATGAGAATCTTTGGACTCCATATCCGCCCAGAGTAACTTCCAATCATAAATCAGCAAGTTTTTTTCTTTTTTTTCTCTTATATAAAAAATCTGTGCTATCGATCTAACACTTCCAATAAAATCAATTTTCTTCCATTAGCAGCTCAGGCTTTTCATTATTACGAATTCTCTCCATAATTAATTCATCTTGTATCCAATCAGATTTTCGCTGTCTTTTTGTATCTGTATTCAAAGATCTAATAGTGCCATTTACAATATAGCTCATGTAGTGATTATAACAAAATTGAGTGATGTTTACTTCCCAGGTAGGATCTAAAGTTTGTGCTGCAAGGTTTTATATTTAGTGTCTTCTGTGAATCTTTGAAACTTCATTTTAAACCTCTCTACTCCGCAAATAATGCATAGCCCAGCGAGTGTCTTCTTCAGAATTTCTATTATATATAACCTTTAGAATTGCTAAAAATATCTGTTAAAAACTATGTGATTAGCGGAATTATTTTCATTAAAACAATATAATAGACATCTAGGAATATATCATTGTAATTTTTTTTATTGTTACATAAAATGATTATCAAGATTCCAGTAATCGATTACATTACTTTAAACTATATAAAAAGCGATATTATACAATTTTGTATAATGGCCAATCATGCAAATGTCCGTTATGCTTTATATATCCTAAATATATATGTTTATAATAAATTATAATAAATACGAACATACCTGTGTAGTATCATTAGACAAGGATTTGTTAGTAGAACAGAAGTTTTGTATTGTCATATATAGATCTTTTGAATAAATTGACTATATTAGGTATTTACTTTCTAAGAATTTTCTTTATGCTATAGCTCTGAACTTACAGTTTTCTGTTATAAACTTTATATCAACTAGTATTTCATCAGTAAATCTTTTGCAATCTTCAAATTTGATTTGGCTCTTATTTGGAGAATGGTTATGATTATCAACAATTTTGTTGATGATTATATTATTTTCAGGATTATTGATCTTTGAACATGATACGTTAATTATAAAAGGATATTATGTTTTTTTGTGACTGTATTCCTTGTCAAATTTGATTCATAAAAACATCTATAATCATTTATAAAACTTCTTTGATATATAATACTATCGTCTCAGTATATACGGGCTTTTATAATTTGAAATCCTTATCTTTAACCCATTCATTAAGAAAGTTTTTACATGCTTTCCATGTTAAAAAAATCTTTTCAGAATATAAGGTTGATGATTGAGATTCATTTAGTATTATATTTTCTTGAAATTGCATACATTCTAATTATATGAAAACAAAAGGATAACACTTATGATTATGTTAGGCATTATGAAAATATTATATATATAATTTGATTAACCTTACCTGGCCTAATAACAGAGATTGAAGAGGATTTATCATTCATTTTATTAACTAATAACAAATACGAACTAGAGTTAGCGTATAGTAAATAATAATAAAGATGAGAACTAATAACTAATAACAAATACAAATTAGAAGTAGCGAACAACCTATAATAATAAAGGAAGCTAACAATACAGAGGGTCTTCAAAAGTTTATGCACACTTTTTTTATACGAATTTTCTTAAAATTTTATTAAGCAATTAAGAAATTTACAAATAATAAATAATGTTTCTAGACTATTAAAATATAAATTTTATTAAGGGTTTAATACTTGGTTGGATCACCATTTGCATTAATTACCGCCTGAATTTGTCAAGGCATACTTTTAACTAAATTTTCAATTTTTTCAAAAGTAATTGGTTTCCAAGCCTTTTGTACTTGTCATTCAAGTGAGAAAAGGTTAATGGGCTTTACGTTTTGACTTCAAAGGTTTTTTTTTTAATTTCGTTTCATAAATTTTCGATCAAGTTAAGGTTAGGGCTTTGGGCAGGCCATTTGTCTCAAATTATAAGTGCATAAAACAAATTGTGTAAGGTTTACGATTTTGCAAGGTTTGCAATGTTTATTATATTGTGATAGTAGTGATATATTTAGATAAAAATGGTGGTCCGATCAAATAATAAATAGCTTAGTACAAAATTTAATTTACTATTTTAGAAACAATATTTAATTATTTGTAGATCATTTGCTTAATAAAAATATGATTAAAATTCATACAAAAAAAGTATGCGTAAACTTTGGAGACCCTCTGTATATATAAATTGAAGGTAACAACTAATAACCAATAACTAACTAATATAAATTGAAGGTAATAGATAATTAACAACAAATTAACAACTAGCAATACAAATGGAAGGTAGAAAAAAGTTTAATATCAAAATATAAATGAGGTAGTAAAGTCAACAATAATTAAAGTGTAAACTAATAACTAGTAACACATTGAAAGTAAAAAAAGGCATAAATTCATAAATTTAAGGTAGCGAACAGATACAGTTAACAGCTGTAAAAGTTAAATTACAATAATAAAAGGTGATAGTACTAAATAACCTATAATTAATAACGCTGAAATAAAAAAATAAATGTAAGATTTTAGGTTAGTGTGCATTAAGGTCAAAAGCACAGCGAAAAAAAAGTTAAATAGATAATATCATGTGAATCACA